CTGACTACAGGGTTACAAATAAACAATCACAATCTAACTAACATTACCCAACTCTACTAACAATCAAATCCGTAACATACTTTAATTCCTTTTTCAAAACAAATATTAACAAATTAAAAATAAAAATAATAATACAGTTAAACCATAACACTAAAAATAGTATAAATTCAATTATATTAAACTATTAACAATAACCTAAAATCTACTCATAAGCAAGATAATACTTTTCAGTCTCATATTTCTTTTGAATATAATCAATCCATCTTCTCCAAACCGAAATGTATTTTTCTTGTGAATGGTCTTTCAAATAAGCGGAAATTTTCGCCATTTCTGCTAAGTTAGACACCTTAAGTATCCATTCTTCCATAGTAGGCAAAGAGTTTTTCTTCCAATTTTGCCCCACCAATAATCTTGCAGCTGTTATAAGATTCAACATCAAATTATTTCTTTAACATCAAAATCAACCGTAATACCCAACAAAATTTATTTATTTATTTATTTATTTTTATTTATATGCCGCCCAATCCCAAAGGACCCAGGGCAGCGTACAAAATTAAAACAATCATCTAACAATAATACAATAAAATAATACAATCATGCCGCATGTCCGGTCATATCCCGCCCCCCCCCCCAGGGACATCAGCCCCAGGCCTGCCAGAACAGGAGAGTTTTAACGGCTTTCTTAAAGGCTGGCAGGGTGGGAGTAGTTTGAACCTCGGGGGGAAGTTGATTCCACCAGATCGGAGCCACCACAGAAAAGGCCCTTCCCCGAGGGCCCGCCACCGACATTGCCTGGCCGATGGGACCTGAAGGAGGCCCAATCTATGGGACCTCACCAGTCTCTGGGAACTGTGTGGCAGTATGCGGTCCTGTAAGTAACCTGGCCCTATGCCATGAAGGGCTTTAAAGATGATAACCAACACCTTGAATTGCGTCTGGAGACCCACAGGAAGCCAGTGCAGCTCGCGGAGGATAGGTGACACGTGGGCGTACCTTGGCGCGCCCACAATCGCTCTCGCGGCTGCATTCTGAACCAACTGCAGCCAACTCCTACCTCAGAGAGGTAGGAGGAGAACCACTGCAATACGGTGCCGCCCACCCCCAATTATCCGAGACAACGCAGAAGGATACCATGGTCGATGGTATTGAAAGCCGCTGAGAGGTCAAGAAGCACCAAGATAGAGGAATGACCCCTATCCCGGGCTCGCCAGAGGTCATCGGTCAGTGCGACCAAAGCAGTCTCAGTGCTGTAGCCGGGCCTGAAACCAGATTGAAAAGGGTCCAGATAATTAGTTTCATCCAAGGATCGCAAGAGTTGGGACGCCACCACCTTCTCTACAACCTTCCCCACAAAGGGGAGGTTGGAGACAGGATGAAAGTTCTTCAAAACAGCTGGGTCCAGGGAAGGCTTCTTGAGGAGGGGCCTCACCACCGCTTCCTTTAAAGGTTGCGGGAAAGACCCCTCCATCAAGGAGGTGTTGATTATCGCCTGGAGCCAGCCTCGTGTCACCTCCCTACTGGCAGAAACCAGCCAGGAGGGGCACAGGTCCAATAAACAGGTGGCGGCATTCATTGCCCTCATGGCCTTGTCCACTTCATCAGGGGTCACAGGCTCAAACTCGCTCCAGATAACATTACTAAGACCAGCCCCCGGCAACTCGGCTGGCACTGCCCAGTCGGAGTCCAGGTCTCTCTGAATCTGAGCGATTTTGTCCAAAAGAAACTGAACAAACTCCTCAGCTCTCCCCTGCAAGGGTTCCTCCGCCTCCTCCACTTTAAGAATGGAGCGGGTCACCCTAAACAAGGCAGCCAGGCGAGATTCTGCGGACACAATAAGTGCGGAAAAGTGAACACGCTTTGCCGCCCTTATCGCCACTAAATAAGTCCTAAGATAGGCTCTTAATAGTGATCGGTCAGATTCAGAGTTACTGGCCCTCCAACATCGCTCTAGACGTCTCTTGTGGCGCTTCACCTCCCGGAGCTCCTCAGTAAACCAAGGCGCCCTCCGGGGACCACCACCACAGAGAGGTCGCAAAGGCGCAATTCGATCCAGGGCCCCGGATACCGCCTCATTCCAGGCCGCAACCAGGGACCCGGACGAGTTGTAGACAAGGGAGTCAGTATTTCCCCAAGCTCCTCCTGGAACCGATCTGGGTCCATTAGGCGCCTGGGGCGGAACCACCTAGTCGGCTCCCTCTCCCTGCGATGGGGCAGTGATGCTCTGAAGTCCAGCCTCAATAGGAAATGATCTGTCCATGACAAGGGAGAGATCTCTATTCCCCTTAATTCCAGATCATGTCTCCATTGCCCCGAGAGAAACACAAGGTTGAGTGTGTGACCACCCCTATGAGACGGATCCTGAATTACCTGGGTCAGGTCCATGGTTGCCATGGAAGCCATGAACTCTTGCGCCGCCTCTGAGCGATCGCCGAGTGATGGTAGGTTAAAGTCCCCCAGTACCATAAGTCTGGTGAACTCCACCGCCAACCCGGCTACTGACTCCAGCAATGCAGGCAGGGCTGTTGCAACGCAACTGGGAGATAGGTATGTCAGCAGCAAGCCCAACTGAACCCGTGAACCCAACTTCAATAGGAGGGACTCACACCCAACAACCTCCGGGGCAGGAATCCCACGAGGACTCAAGGACTTCTGAGCGATGACTGCCACTCCCCACCCCTGCCCTGATGTCGAGGCTGATGAAGCACCACAAACCTGTCCGGGCACATCTCTGAGAGGGAAACACCCCCCTCAGGGCCCAGCCAGGTTTCGGTTATACATGCCAGGTCCACCCCGCTGTCCAATATTAAATCACGGACAAGGGGGGCTTTGCTGACAACGCACCTGGCATTAAGCAACAGCAGCCTACAACTAGGGCCCTGTACTCCCCTGTCACCAGTACTACAGGATGAGCCTTTTGAGAGGCCGGAACAAGGAATCGCTCTAATATAGCGGGTCCTCGTTCCCCAAAGATGGCCTGCCCCTCGGCTCCCGTCATATCTGCCCATCCCAGTCATAACCGGGATGCTCCGACCTTCTCCCCTCCCCGGAGTACCCCCATCCTCACCAGCCTTCTCCCTTCCTGACCGGATTAGCTTTCCATACAGACCAAGCCCAAGGGTAAGTCCTACCCCCCCTGCTTTTGCTATTGCACTCAGCAGAGGGGGTACCAGGCTCCGCCCCCAACCCCACCATTCTCATACCCCAAACACTCAATACACATTTACACTCAATTTATATAAATAAAAATAAAAATATTCACATTCATACGCCCTAAATACAATAATAAAATTTATACATAACAGGGCCACCATTCATCTACGTACATACACATACCCACAACAAACATTCTCTAAAAGATATTGCCCCTCTGTGTCCCAGACTGGTCCAATGTGGCCGGCTAGGTGATCATTAGGTACTTGTCTTGGGGCAGCCCGTACTTGGCCTTATGCTTCTCAAAGAGCTGGGTCAACTTCTCCAAGTACCACTTGTGCAGCTCATCAATGGCTTCTCCGGACATCCAGCAATTGTGTAAAGTCAACCCAGCCACAGCGGGACTGTAATTCGTCTTCTTCCACAGTATGCCAGTGTAGGCCGACTCCTCCGGCCTTTCCCCGGCGGGACCCAACAACAGCGTACAATTGAAGCTGAAGGTGCTGGCCTTGTTGTCGCACTTCCTCTTGTTGCTGGCCGTCACCGCAATGGCGGTGGCGGCGGTTGCCGCCGGGGCAGCAGGCAAAGTCACGCGGGGAGCCCAAATCACCAGAAAAGGCCCCATCGCGGAGCCCGAGGAAAACGAAGAGGTGGCGGCGGTGATGATGGCGGAGAAAAAGGCAAAGGAAGCCGCACGCGGGTGGAGTAAACTTTATCTGTCTCTTAAAAATCTTTTGAATATTCCACCAAATCTTAATCCAAAAAGCTTTTATATCTCTACAAGTCCACCAAATGTGAAAATAGGTTGCCTCTAAGCTTCCACATCTCCAACATTTGGGCTGTAAATTAGGATACATGTGGAACAACATTTGGTGGTCCAAATGCCATCTATAAAACATTTTATAAAAAATTTTTCTTAAGTTTTACGCTTGAGTAAATTTTACATTTCTAACCCAAATTGTCTCCCATGTATCCAATAAAATTGAATATTTTGAGCCCATTTAACCATGCAATCTTTAACTAATCAAATAAACATATTTTTAAAGGAAAAATTAAGCCTCAAAAGTTCTGCTTCAGGCAAACTGTCCTTAGCTCCACTAGTTGTTTTACAATCCTCAAGTGCTCTTTTAGAGCATGTGCAAGCATGCTGTCAATCTGCCCAGTCTCCCTCCCTCCTAGGGTCATTATCCTCCCCCACCCAGAAACCGAAACAATGTGTGTGTATTTATATATTGTAGTTTGCATATTTTAAATATAATATTTGTATATTATATTAAGAGCCAGGGTGGCACAGTGGTTAGAATGCAGTATTGCAGGCTAATTCTGTTGACTGCCAGCTGCCAGCAGTTTGACAGTTTATTTTTTACCAGCTCAAGGTTGACTCAGCCTTCCATTCTTCCAAGGTTGGTAAAATGAGAATCCAGATTGTTGGGGACAATATGTTGATTCTGTAAACCACTTACATAGGGCTGTAAAGCACTGTAAAGTAGTATATAAGTCTAAATGCTATTGTTATTGCTATATATTTTGTAAATAAGGCAAATTAATTAAAATACAAGTCCAATACATAAATAAACATAAAACTATTAATAAAATTTCTAAGTAATCCATTTCTTTTCTGAGAACCTAAACTATACCTATATTTGAAATCAATGATGTTTTGAATTAAAACATTAGAGAAATGTTTAAACTGTTATCAGCCTCTATACACTCCTATGACTTAAAAATGTTTCTGTCAATATTTTAACATTGTATTCTTGTATTTCTGTCATCATGAGCTTTTACAATCTGAGAGGAAACCAAATGTTTCTTTCTATGCCATGTTACAAAACAGTGCCCAGTATACCTACCGGTCCCAGACGAAAAACCAGGGCTTTGGAAATTATAATTCTTGATTTCACTATACCATCTGTCAGCTACTTCATTTCCTGCAAGACAAAGAAAACTATGCAATGGAATTGGAATGAAGTGAACCTCTTCTCTTCTCTTCTCTTCTCTTCTCTTCTCTTCTCTTCTCTTCTCTTCTCTTCTCTTCTCTTCTCTGACAGTTAGAGATTATCCAATTATTTTTATTAATTCCAGTTTGATTAAGACAAGGCTTTTCAACCAATGGTACGGGTACCACCTGTGGTACATTGGCACCTGGCAGGTGGTACGCAACCATCCTAGAAAAGTGGTAGCGGGAGAGGGGAATGAGCTGAACCAGTGGCAGCATCGCACAAGCCTGAGCAAGAGATGGCTGGAGCTGCAGGGCTGTCAGGGATCAGTAGAAGCATCAGGATCAGCGCTTCTTCGGGGCTGTCAGGGCTCAATGGAAGTGCCAGGAGCAGCACCAGGCTCCAGGTGGAGCTTGGCGCTGATCCTGGCGCTTCTGCTCAGCCCAGAAGAACCCCCATCAGCTGGAATATTGCAGCATCTCCAGGGTCTTGTAATTTACATTCAGATGCTTGGCAACTGCTTCATATTTATGATGGTCACAGTGTCTCAGGGTCATGTGAAGTGACCAAAACCTGCTACAACCACCCAGCAGATGGAGGTTATAAAAACTAAACACCCCCCCACCCCAACCCCACTGCCAATCCTCAACAGAAATGCTCACAACAATGAAAACTTCAGAGAGGAGGAAGAGCGCCATTGGTTGGGCAGGCAGGTGTGGCTTGGGGGGCACTTTTTTCAGTGCCATTGTAACTTCAAACAGTCACTAAGCGAACTGTTGTAAGTCGAGGACTACCTGTACTTCATCACTTTTTTCCATTTTTGGGAGGGGGGTCATCAAGGTTTTGACACCTTGCTAGGTGACGTAGTACTCGGATATTGCCATATCCTAAAAGTGGTACAATGGGTGAAAAGGTTGAAAAGCCCTGGATTAAGATATTGATCATTAGCCATGATAGTCTGATTTCTTAAGAAAATATTGAAATAAGTTAAAGGAAATTGTAAGCACATAATACTATTGAAAGAATTTTTTAAAGGCCTAGGTAGCTATGAAATAGCTTTTGTAATAATTCTGTAATTATTAAAATATTTTCCTGTTATTTTCTAAAAAAAATCATTTATTTAACATCAACATGCATATAAGAGCAAGATAAAGGAAGAATGTTCATGTTAAGGTACTAACCTATATTGGGACTATTTAAAGACATAGATATAAGTACCCCATAATCATAAGAAGTGCATGAGACTGGGGACAATTTTTTGCATACTGCCATATCAGAATGGGACAATTCGCCGCAGCCAGCTCACTGTGGCCAGCTCGCCTCTGCCAACTCCCCATTACCAAGTTGTCACAAGACAATTCCACATGGCCAACTCACCAGGGGGACAACTTGTTGTGGTCAGTGGGAAGAAGAGCCAGGTGGGCAAGGGGGAGGAGCAGGAAGGCAGAATGCATGAGGTGCAGCAGGCAAGCGAGTGGGCAGGGTGTGGTGTGAGGGTCGATTACCTAGGTGACTGGAGAAAGAGCCAAGTGGGCAACTGAATGGTAAGCAGAGTGGATAGAGCATGCAGGGTGCAGTGAGAGGATGGGTCACACCACCAGCTGCAGTAGGAGCCAGAGCTGCAAAGTGCAGAATGTGTCCTGCCATGCAGAAACACCAGCCAATTGGTACTTGGTGCAGATTGCCATTGGATTACTGAAAATGAATCTGAGGCATAGGAAGCTCAGTGTTATTCTTTTTTTCCCCTCTCTTGGGGGATATATGCATATTATCTGAAACAAATAAGTTCCAATGGCTGGCTGAGTTGCCTGAATTCAATCCTAGAAATCCTAGCTGCTGTGCTGGGCTCTGGGCAGAAGAGAACAAGGATGGTGGGGGCAGCCAGGGTGGACAGTAGAGGAGAATAAGGAGAATAAGCTGCCCTGGCATTACCATGGTCACATAAGATGCATTGGATAGGGAAAGGGGTGTTCCGGATGCTACCTGTTGTGGCCCATGCCAACTTGTGCCAAACATTTAGCAGCTGGTAGTGGCATGGTCCATCCTCCTGCTGCACCCACAAGCTCTGCCCACCTCACTTCTACAGCTGCCCAAGGTGAGTTGTCCCCCAGTGAGTTGGCAGTGTGGAATTGTCCTGTGTCAACTCAGTGAAGGCAAAGTTGGCAAGTTGGCAGAGGTGAGTTGGCGGGGATGAGTTGACTAGGCAGACTAAGTTGAAATATTATCTAACCTCAAGTTATCCTATGAGCTTCATGATCAAATGAGGACTTGATTTGGATCTCACTACCTTAGTCTAATAATTTAACCACTTTTCTACTATAATTTATCTACCAAAAGTAAGCAGTAATAACAAATTTAGGCACAGCACTAATAGATAATGTAGAGACAAGACAACTGTTCAAGAGTAGTTCATTCCCTTTACTTGTGGCAACAGAGAATGTATGAAAGAACCAAGAATATAAGTGCTTGATGTATTGCAAATTTTGGTAGCAAATAATTTCATTTGTTTCCTCCAAGGCATTTTACTATATTCTGTGATTTACTATGTTTCCCTTTTCCAAATATTCTAATATTTATATTGTACATGTTACTTTTTAAAGCACACATTTGGGGATAGATATTTAGATGTTGGAGATATATTTAAGCATATTTTTTTAAAAAATCTGCAGACTGATATATAAATAAGTCAAGTTTATGGATGTACATAAGCACATCAGAAATATTTATTTGCTCAGTAAAGGAGTGGTATGAAATATCAGAATAAGGAATAGAATGGAGAGGATGTCAACAGGCCAGGTTTGAGGGAAATTCAAATTATTGTACATTGAGTTCACATGGGTAGGAAAGAGACTAAAATTAGGGGAACCTTTACATATTTTAAAAAGTGCTAAATCCAAATTTCAAGAGGAATTAATGTTGAAGCACCCTTTAAAATAAACTTCCCAAATCATTCTCCATTATGCATTTCCAAAAAATTAAAAAAAGGAATTTTTCCCCATGACATATTTCACTTCATTCCACTAGCTACAGTCCATAAAACTTAAATGTTTCTTGATTTGGTCTGCTTATATTTCAGTTATTAAGTTCCATCAGAGTAAAGTGAATGTGCATAAATAAATCTTGGCACAGAACTGCCTCTTTTGGAGCATGTGGGATAATTCACGTAGAAGCTTACACTGCATGGTATTTAGAATTCTAGATAGGCTACAATATCTATGAAAGATTAACAGGCTATGAGCAGACATTTTAAATGCATTTATTAATTGGGGTTCAGATTACGCTATATAGCAGGATTATTATTTTTTTACACTAAAAGGTTTAATACATACTTTTCTTATATAGGAACAAAAATTTATTTTACCTGATTGATTGTATGAAGCCCATGCTAGATTTTCTCCACATTTTCCACTGATAGATTCAGGACTGTGTTTGAGGATTCTTGTGCCAGCAAGTGCTTCTGAATACCTTGTTTAACACAATAAGCAAACATTTGCTAAATATAGAGAGTACATAGCCTAAAGGATTTAGCCAGAAGTACATATGATTTAATTTGCGAAGAAATTTTACACTTGTGAGAAAAAGCCATCTATCCTTTTTCCATTTTATTGTGCAGCCTTTGCTACTCTGTGGAGCATGATTGTCTGTTGGTTTACAGACAAGTGGATTGCTCTTTAATATGACTGTCTGACTGGGCCTACAGAATCCAAGCCCTAGCACAGTGCTTCTTGTATTTAATAAAATTGAACTTATTGCATTTAAGGTTCCTTCTCAATATTGAATTTCTGTGATAGCCTCCATCTGGAATGTCTTCTACTTTGAATCATTTTTCTAATTTGTACTTGCTGTATTTAGTTCTTGGCACAAAGTTTGATTTGAACAATGAATACTGAATTCTATTGGTACAAACATTATTTCCTTTGAAATAGGTCTCTATTTATTTCAATGCTCTTGCTCCTGGATTTGCAACAGTTGTAACTGCTATTTAATTCTCCAGCCTGAAGAAGCCAATAGCTGTTAATGTAAGTTTAGTGTTATTTGAGCCCACAAATTAATTTGTTCTTCTGTTTGCAGAAGTTGTTTGGAATGGGTTTGCACAAGTATGTTTTAGCAATTGCACTTAGACTTTATAGCACTCTCTGAGCAGTTCACAAAATCAGCAAATTGTCCCCAACAATTTGGGTCCCCATTTTACCAACCTCAGAAGGATGGAAGGCTGAGTCAACCTTGAGCCCCATCAGGAACAAACTCCAAGGTGTGGGCAGAGTCTGTCTACATCAGTGGTTCTCAACCTGTGGGTCGGGACCCCATTTGGGGTCAAATGACCATTTCACGGGGGTCGCCAAACAAGGCTGTCCACCATTTTTTCCCCCTTTTCTTTGGCCACGCCCCTGGCATCCGGTGATGTATAAGTGGTTGGGGGTCACCACAACATTGGGAACTGTATTATGGGGTCGCGGCATTAGAAAGGTTGAGAACCACTGGTCTACATTCTAACCACTGTGCCAAAGGGGCTCCTTTTCAATCTGCCAGGGTATCTGAAGAAGAACCATGAACCTGAATTATTTGCAGAAGGCAAACACCCAGGTTGTAGGAAAGCAGAAATAGCATGTGTATAATCTCTCTCTTCCTTCAAAAACAGATTTATATTTCTACAATGCATAATGTGGGATTAGACAATGGGTCTACCTAGTAGTAGTATTCATCCTCATTGCTGAATTGCAATTCAGATGTAATCCATTAGAGTTCAACCTGCTGCTTCTATATATTAGGTGCTACTATGTACCACTTTCATCAGGTTGGTGATTTCCTCCCTACCCCCAGATAACAAAGGAGACATTGCTACTTAATGTAATCAGCAGAGCTTCTTTTTTAATATCTTGAGCACTTACATATCCCTCAAGGGGCAATGTTGGGATTATGCAGTCAGATTACAGATGAATTCTGCTTCTTGCCATTTTCAGGGTTAACAAGAACAGGTGGACTACTGTGAGGCTGATGTGCAACACAAACAAATTGCATGGTCCTATTCTAAGTAAGAAGTAATGGTGGTGAAGTGTAAGATAGCCTCTTTTGAAATTACATGCACCCTTTTCAGCTTTCAGCTGTGGGCTAGATGGATACTTCAACTGGCTTCTATATAATGTGGTGTCGGTGAAGGGTCAGATCAGGAAAATGTTCAACACTTGGAGGACGGGGACAATGCCTTTTCTTTAAAAAGGTAGTGGTGTACCCACTCAAGAAGGGGCTTTCTCTAGATTCAGTCAAAGATTAGACATTATCCAAAGTTTGCCTTTAAAAAAAAGTTGTCATGGAGAAGTACAGAGATGGTTTGGAAAAAATATGTGGTTATCGTATATTATTATTACTATTATTATTATTATTACTATCATCGCACAGTCATCCAGATGTTCAGACTAGATTTGGCATTTTGTCTACCTATTGAGTCCTTACCCAGGACCTGGGATAGGCAGATGTGGATGTTTGATGTTATTACAGATATTGTCGCAGGATGGAAGCAGTTCCTAGTAAGGCCGCCTTTTGCAATTGACTAATAGCGAATTTGTAAATGCCAATGGTGTTCAAGTGGTGCTTCAGTTGTTTTGGGATTTCACCCAAGGAGCCTATCACTATTGGTACTACCCTTGCTTGCTTTTGCCACAGTCTTTCTATTTCTATTTGTAGGTCTTTGTATTTTGTTATCTTCTCCATTTCTTTCTCGTCTATTCTGCTGTCTCCAGACACTGCCATGTCCACTATCCAGACTTTTTTTGTCTTTCTTATCGACAGTTGTTAAGTCTGGGGTGTTATGTTGCAGGTGCTTGTCTGTTTGAATTCTGAAGTCCCAGAGCAGTTAATTTTATCATTTTCTATGACTTTCTCTATTTTATGATCCCACCAGTTTTTGCTTAAAGGCAAATGATATTTTTTGCAGATCTTCCAATGCACCATTGTTGCTACTTTGTCATGCCGCTGCTTGTAATCAGTCTGTGCAATCTTCTTGCAACAGCTTACCAGGTGGTCCACTGTTTCTTCAGCTTCTTTGCATAGACGGCACTTACTGTCTGTTGCTGTCTTCTCAATTTTGACTTTATATGCATTTGTCCTTAAGGCTTGGTCTTGTGCAGCCAGTCCCTCAATCTTTTTCTTCAATTTTTCTGCTCTTAGCCATTGCCAGGTCTTGTTATTATCTGCTTCCCCAGCTATTTTTTTAATGTATTGGCCATGTAGTGCTTTGTCTTCCCATGCCTCTATTCTGTTCTTCCTTTGGTCTTTCTTGTAGGCCAGTTTGGGCTCTCCAGTAGTCAGTAATGATTTACTAATTTCAGTGCATCTTCATCATTGTTCTTCGGGTATTCTTTCAAAGCCATTTTTTCTTCTTCAACCATCTGATGTACTTGTAGCATTCCACGCCCACCTATTTGCCTTGGTAGATAAAGTCTGTCAATGTCACTGCGTGGATGAAGGGCATGATTCATTGTCATTATTTTTCTGGTCTTCCTATCCATTGCTTTTAGTTCTGTTTGAGTCCAGTCCACTATTTCAGCTGTGTACCTAATGATTGGGATTGCCCAGGTGTTGATTGCCTTTATAGTATTTCCTCCATTGAGTTTGGACTTTAAGATCTTCTTCACTCTCTTGATGTATTCACCTCTAATCTTTTTCTTGACTTCAGTGTGCAGATTCTTAATGTTATTTTCGTGGGGCATCTTGATTCCTTCAGTTTTCACTACTTTTCCTTGTTTGATAGTAAGTGTGGCACATTTGTCCAAGCCAAACTCCATAACAATATCTTGGCTATATATACGGACAGTGTTGAGCAGCGATTCTATTTCAGATGATGTTTTTCCATACAGCTTCAGATCATCCATGTAAAGGAGATGGGATAGTCTGGTAGATGTTTTTGATGCTTGATAGCCATGTCCTGAGTTATTCAGTATTGTTGACAGAGGAAACAGTGCAATAACAAATTTACTATTATTATTATTATTATTATGGATCATCGCACAGTCAGCCAGATGTTCAGACTGGATTTGGCATTTTGTCTACCTATCGAGTCCTTACCCAGGACCTGGGATAGGCAGATGTGGATATTTGATGGTATTACAGATATCATCGTAGGATGGAAGCAGTTCCTAGTAAGGCTGCCTTTTGCAATTGACTAATAGCAAATTTGTCAATGCCAATGGTTTATTATTATTATTATTATTATTATTATTATTATTATTATTATTATTATTATTATTATTATTATTATTATTATTATTAAAGAGCCAGTTTGGTTAAAAGCACCAGCCTAGAAACTAGGAGACTGTGAGTTCAAGCCCTGGTTTAAGCACAAAATGCAGGAAGAGGACAAGCTCTTTTGAAAATTTTGCTGAAAAGATTCATGGATTGAGACATCTGCCAAGAATCAAGACTGACTTAAAGGCCTATGCACACAACAAAAGGACATATATAAATTATACGCTACATTTGTTACTCTTGAAGAAATATTATCCATATAATATATAAATAATATATTATAGAGGATCTTACTAATTTAAATTATTGCAGCATCAAATTGTTCAATTCTACACAAATGCATTTTTATACAAATTACTATACCAGATTATAGCATGTCACCAATTTTCTTGTAGAAATAGTATTATCTTTGAAGCTAATATTTTGTAATCATGAAAAAGTATAAAACATTGGTTTGAGTAAGTATATTCTTGAGATCCACATTGCAGGTAGTCCTTGAGATACAATCTGACACTAAATAGCTATTGGAAGTTACAATGGACTACAAAAGCTACATAAAATCCTGGTAGCTGCTTATGATCATTGGCCCTTATATCTGACCAAAGAGACACTCTAGAACAAGGCTTTTCAACCAGTGGTACGGGTACCACCTGTGGTACATTGGCACCTGGCAGGTGGTACGCAACCATCCTAGAAAAGTGGTAGCGGGGGAGGGGAATGAGCTGAACCAGTGGCAGCACCGCACAAGCCTGAGCAAGAGATGGCTGGAGCTGCAGGGCTGTCAGGGATCAGTGGAAGCATCAGGATCAGCGCTTCTTCGGGGCTGCCAGGGCTCAATGGAAGTGCCAGGAGCAGCACCAGGCTACAGGTGGAGCTCGGCGCTGATCCTGGTGCTTCTGTTCAGTCCAGAAGAAACCCCATCAGCTGGAATGTTGCAGCATCTCCAGTGTCTTGTAATTTACATTCAGATGCTTGGCAACTGCTTCATATTTATGATGGTCACAGTGTCTCAGGGTCATGTGAAGTGCCATTGTAACTTCAAACAGTCACTAAGCGAACTGTTGTAAGTCGAGGACTACCTGTACTTCATCACTTTTTTCCATTTTGGGGGGATCATCACGTTTTTGACACCTTGCTAGGTGAATGGTGGTTCTCGGACATTGCCATATCCTAAAAGTGGTACAATGGGTGAAAAGGTTGAAAAGCCCTGCTCTAGAACCCCA